AAAATAAGGTTTAAAATGGCAATAAATATACACTTACTTTAATACTTACTTACTTATAATAATTACTTTAAATGTCAATGGACTAAATGTTCCAATCAAAAGATAGAGTGGCAGATTAAATAAACAAACAAGAATCTATAATAAGATGCCTACAAGAGACCCTCTTTAGGGCAAAAGATACATACAGATTGAAAGTGAGGGGAGAGAAAAAGATATTTCAATCAAATGGAAACAATAAGAAAACAGGGGTAGCAATACTCATTTCAGACAAGACAGATTTTAAAACAAAGCCCATAAAGAAAAACAAAGAAAGATACTATATAATGATATAGGGATCAACACAAGAAGAGGATACTATACCAGTTAACATATATATACTCAGTATAGGAGCACCTAAATACACAAAACAAATACTAACAGACAAAAAAGGAATACATCGATGAGAATACAATAATAGTAGGAGACTTTATTATCGCACTGACATCAATGGACAGATCTTCCAGGCAGAAAATCACTAAGGCAATAGAGATCCTAAACGACACAATAGAACAGTTGGACTTAATTGATATCTACAGGACACTACATCCAAAAAATCAGAATACACATTCAAGTACACATGGAACATCCTCTAGGATAGACAACATACTAGGACATAAAACAAGCCTTAACAAATTTAAGAGGACAGAAATTATTTTAAGCATCTTTTTGGAGCACAATAATATGAAAATAGAAATCTACTACAAAAAGAAAAATGAGAGGAAAAAATGATTACATGAAGACTAAGCAATATGCTACTAAAAAGCCAACAGGTCAACAATGAAATCAGAGAGGAAATCAGAAAACACCTTAAGACAAATGACAATGAAAACACAACCTTACAAAATTTATGGGATGTAGCAAAAGCAATTCTAAGAGGGAAGCTCATTCCATTACAGGTCTTTCTCAAAAAACAAGAAAAATACTAAACAATCTAACATATCAAGAGAATTAGAAGAAGAACAAACAAAACCCAAAGTCAGCAGAAGGAAGGAAAGAATAAATATCATTAAGGAAATAAATAAAATAGAAATTAAAAAAATAGATGGAAAAACAAAAACCATGAAGTGGTTTTTTGAAAGGATAAACAAAATTGACAAACCTCTGGCCAGACTCACCAGGAAGAACAGAGAGCACCCAAATAAAGAAAATAAGAAATCAAAGAGAAGAAATTACAACTAACACCAAAGAAATACAAAAAATAATAATAATAACCTCTAAGAGATTACTGTGAACAGTTATATGCCAACAAATTAGACAACCTAGAAGAAATGGACAAGATTCCACAAACATACAGCCTGCCAAAACTGAGTCAAGAAGCAATAGATAATTTGAAGAGATCGATCACTAGATGTGAAATGGAAACTGTAATTTAAAAAAACTCCCTGCAAACAAAAGTCCAGTACTGGATGGCTTCACTGTGGAATTCTACCACACACACAAAACACTGATACCTATCCTTCTCAAACTATTCCAAAACACTGAATAGACAAGAACACTCCCAAAGTCATTCTGTGAAGCCACCATCACTCTGAAACCAAAACCAAAGACATAACAAAAAGGAAAAGAAAATTATAGGCCAATATCTTTAATGAATACAGATGCAAAAATTCTCAACAAAACATTAGCAAACCAAATCCAACAATACATAAAAAGAATTATATACCATGATCAAGTTGGATTCATTCCACAGTTGCAAGGATGGTTCAACATATGCAAATCAATCAATGTGATATACTACATCAACAAAAGAAAAGACACAACAACATGATCATTTCAATAGATACAGAAAAATCACTTGATAAAATTCAACATCCATTCATGATTAAAAACTCTCACCAAAGTGGGTATAGAAGGAACATATCTCAACATAGTAAAAGTCATTTATGACAAACCCACAGCCAATATAATACTCATTGGTAAAAAGCTAAATGTCTTCCTGCTAGTTCTAGAACAAGACAAGGATGCCCTCTCTCACCACCTCTATTCAACATAGTATTGGAAATCCTAGCCACAGCAGTCAGAAAAGAATAAAAAATAAGAGAGATCCAAATTGGGTGGGAAGAGGTAAAATTGTCATTATATGCTGAAGACATGATACTCTACATAGAAAACCCTAAACACTCCACGCAAAAACTATTAGAATAAATGAATT